AGGTCCTTAAGCAGCAAAACAGCCAAAGACCATGATACTACCAGCACCGTGTTTGATTGCTGTGTGCTGTGCGTTTTCTGCGCCTCCATAAACTGCTGGTTTTATAGCAAATCTAAAAGAAAGTTCCGCTTTTGTCTCAACAATCCATTTTCCCAGAAGGCTTGCCATTCCTTAAGGGGACCCGGTCATAAATAAAAAAAACACCAAAAACCATATGTTCATATTAAGATAAAGCAATATATGCTTATAATATGGGTAGATAGTGTTTAGTTAGTCCTTTTTGAGCCTAAAAATAATTTTTGCATCAGGTATTAACAGAAGAAATATTGTTGAACACTGTCACCATCTGCTAGTAGTCATTACTTATTCATCCATCATCTTTGCAGCTTCAGCAGCCTTAGGTGCCGTTTCAGTGAAAACCAATGGTCATACTGCATTATAAACACCACTCATGTTTTCACTGTTTTGGGAGGCAATATTTTTGCACCCTTTTCACACTTGTTGTTAGGCTTTTCCTCTTTCCTTTTCCAGAAATTAGTGGTCATAGACTAAGATCCTTCTAAGCAGTGGTTCTGGCATTAGAATACTCCCATGTTGCCAATTTTAGCACAGTGTCTTTTTTTAATTGGTCAGCCATTCACTCTGACCTTATCTGAGGCAGTGAGGGTTTATGGTTGAGTAATTTTAGTAGGCCTGTGAGGGTTCACCACATTCCATTACTTCACCATGTGTTGATGATGTAGTAGAACTGAAGCTCATCAATCTCAAACCTTTGAAATGTTTTTTTTAGTTATGGCTATTATGTGTTGCTTTATGCCGGAGGTCTTCAACAGGGGGTCCGCGACCCCTAGGGGGTCCATGGAGGTACAGCATGGGGTTTGCAAACGTTTTGGGTGATTAGACTTTTTTTATATTCCCCGCAGCAATTTTTTCCACTAATGAAATGTCCTTAAATACATGTTAACATGAATTCAGCACATGTCTTTCAGTCATTAATGCACACATTCATCTGTCCCATCAAAGAGGAATCCGAATCAGAAATACTTAAATAATCCCAGGACGAAATTACTTCCGTTACATTACTCCATCTGTAATAGAGTGACTATAGGACCAGTTTGATATAACACAATTTCATACAATACATATAATTCCATCTCGCCATCAGTTTGAGGGTCCTTGGCCTGGAAAACTTTGAAGACTCCTGTTTTATCTAATCTGTCAGCCTACTTCATGTTGTGATTACTTGATTGTGAAGATTCTGTTAGTGATCGGCCACAGGTATTGGTAAAATAAAAAAAAAAAAAAAAGCTCTTTAGTTGACCCTAGACTTGACCAGAAGGGGGTTTTATCAAATGGATTATTTTTTCCTTTATTGAATTAATTGATTAAAGTGCTTTTTGCATCTTCTTAGGTTATTTCCTGATGTTTAAATGTTCCAAAAAAGCTAAAGCAAGAGAAAAAAAACTGTTAGAGGATAAATATCCTTTTTAGTGCAAGGTGTACTTCAGTCAAAACATGAGAGGCGAGACCAGTAAGAGGAAGCAGCACCAGTAAACTACCACCACATGCAAACATCTTCAGTAATTAATTATAGATCAGTCAGTCTGAGGATGATGATGGTAGCAATTAGGGAAACAGAGCTCCAAGCAGGAGACAGGAACCTGAACAAAGGAGGCAGGAAGCCTGGCTGGAGGCGGGGCTTTGTTTGAATGATAATCCTAAAATCAGTCCAGCAATTTTTCATCAGAACTGATGATAAACATGATCCGAAAATTGAAACTCTGAGTAAATATTTGCATTTGGTGCAGATTTGAGCAGATAGACTAACTTTTCAACCTGGGACTGCTGAGGTCTTGTAGGTTTAAAGGAATAGTACACCCAAAACATGATTAGCCTTCATTTTCTACTCACCCCCATGCTGAACAACAC